AATGGTTATTGCTCTCTGCACATTCAGATCATCATTAGGCTTCAGTGCAGCATTTATAACCGCATATAAATATTACCACTTCCAAAGACACAGGCTTGTTCGCCGCGGATGATGGGGCGTGTCAAGGGAGGATGGGTTTGGTGCAACGCCAGCCAATTCTTTCCTTTTTTCCTTCTAACGAGCGATAAGGCTCTATCATATCATTCGTGTCGTTGTTACTGAGTTGCTCCAACATTTGGGGGTGGGGGAGGGGCTGGCGACGCGCCAAATCCACCCTTATTGACGCGCCCCATGATCCGCAGAGAACAAGACTGTAGCAGAAGTAATATACCCTTTCAAGCCGCGTTCATACTTTGCGAATATGGAGAGGGCGGCTATTGACCAAGGAAAGTACGCACCAAACTGGAGAGTTCGCGAACTCGGAGAATGCAAGCACGCTTAACCAAGGAATAATTGAGAATCTGCAGACTCCGCTCTGCAGCTATCCGCGTGCCCTCTTCACTCGAGTTTTCTCCACGGTAATACGTGAAATTACCCTGGCCGTGCGATTTTCGAGTCCAAGGACACACTTGCAATGTACGAATGCGACATTAGTAGTTACTGAGATGGAAGTGTAAAGGACTTGACTTATTGGAAATGGGAAAATCAAACGGAATAAAGTCACAAACCATCATTGACTGCGTCGTTTTCGCAGCATCGGTATCAGCGGCAACAACTGTGCTCTGTAACTGCCTAATCTGTTCTCGGAGTTCCGTTTCTCGTTTCTCAGCTTCCACTGCTTCCACGGTAGATGTTTCCTCGACGAGCAAAAGATGCTCCTTAAGCCGCTGCAGTTCTCGAGACAACTTCTCTCGTGATTCGCGCTCTCTAAAAATCATCCCTTACCATTTATGTTGAAAGTTTCTCTAACTAAAATTGAAAATTCGAGTTTAATATTTCAGCAAAATTGAGCAACAGAGCAATCTATTCATACTCGTCTAACTCCGCAGACCGTCGGTGGTCTGACTCTGCAGTTCGTCGCTCACTGTCTGCCACTTTCTGCTCCAACGCAGCAATCTGAGCAATAGCAGCTTCCAACCGAGAAAAATAATCAACACTTTCAGCGTGTTTCTGAGTTGCGACCTGAAGTACACTGCTACGAAGCGACTCAACAATCTCTAACAGCAGGTAAATTCCGGGAAGCCCCATTTAGACGCTGCTATTTGATAACTTTACCTGTCGAAGCTGCTCGTTTTCAGCTGTAAGCGTACTCAGAAGATTCGCTTTCTCATTTAACTGCTTTTCAGCGTCAGCAATAGCCTGAAACGAATGGATAAGTGGGGGACATTTTCTGCCCGACTGAGCAGCTGAGTTTCAGTACTAGTTCACGAGAAAGACTAGAATCTTCTGTCTACTCTTCTGCTAGGATAAAAGAGGGACCTCGTACCTCCTTTAGCGTTGAACATTCCGCTTCAAGCAGATCTAATCGTTCAGACAGCTCTCCCTTCTCCTGGTCAACCTCATGGGCCAGCAAATGATTGCCTCGTAACATAAAGAAAGCAGTATGGTAAAAAGAGCGAACTACTCTTTCCACTAGTCTTCAAGGAACTCTCTAAAATGGCACGAAGATAACGCGCGGTGAAGAAACCATGGTACCTGTTCCAAATCAGAAAAGTCTCCAACCGGTACGAAGCTAGTTAAGCAAGTCATCACTGTAGCGGTTTGGACTATGATCAGAGGAACCTCAAGCTAAAAACATGCAATGGTCAATTCGTCAATGCTGTCTTCCATTAAAAAGAAATGCCTGCTTGTCCAGGAAGAGGTTAAAATAGTTGAAAAAATCGGTATTTCGCTATTTTAAAATGGGAATGAAGGGAGGAACGGAATGAAGCAAAGACTATGGCTCACAAAAAGATGAGGGCATCAAGTTTTCGAGCTTATATAAGACTGAGAGGGCAAACAGACAACGAAGGGAGAGAATGTGAGAATCGAAATGGCCCTAGATGAGCCCTTTAGATAGCGTCCATTTCAACGAAGAAGCACTCTGGATGCGTCAGCGCAAGGCTTAACTTGCTCTCCCAACTCCCACTATACAGGACACGCCCATAAATGGCCGCGCCGGCTATCAGTAGTATGTAAGCTTCCAAGCTCTACGTTTGATGCGGCATGATAAATCTTTAGTGGGGCCTTTAAAAAGCGCAATTTTTCGTTGTTTTTGTTTCACTGTCGGAATATACAGGAGGGGGGGGACAAACAAAAATCACTTTTAGAACCGAGTCACATATCAGCAAAGTTTTCGCTGCGCAGACAGAAGACGTGGATACCAGGGCGAAAGATACCCAAGATGTTCCTCTATAAGCAGGAGCAGGTTCTCTTCATCACTGCGATTGTACCACCAAAAATGACCAGCAGTCAACCTCACGTCGAAGAATGACTGTCGAAAACAGCCAGAACATGCACGGTTTACGGCGGAGTTCAAATTTAGGGCTGTCTAACAAGAGTGAGCGGAGAATTCAATATCTCGCTGATCTCAGGCACCACATCGCTGTCGCGATGCCACAATCTCTCAGAATAAAACGTCAGCTCCAGAAGGCTGTGGCGGAGTGTCATGATAGTATTTGATATGCTCTTTAATATGGTGGTAAAAATGTCCGATCAGAATTCAATAAAGTGTAACTTATAGCGCCTCGAAAGTCAATGAAGAAAAGTGACTTTTTTTGCCCCCCCCCCCTGTATAGTGCCTCTATTCCCGCTTTCACCAGGGAAGCCCAAATATCGTGCCCACTGCCTTTCAATCTTCGAATCTTTTCTTGATAGAAGAACTTTCAACAGACAGAAATGATAGTAGCTGGAAGAAGTGACTAGCTATAGCGGCATTTCTGCGATCCGTGAAATAGTGAATGCGCTTCTGTCCATTCCAATAACCTTTCTAGAAAAGCTCAGTTCGTGTATATAGCAGTACAATAAACGGTGACCATTTATCTCAACAAGCACCCCATTCACTTCCCGAAACTGCCAAAGTAGATTTATAGTTTAAGTGACTCAGCCCTAACGTTCAGTCAAAACGCGTCGTGGATTGAATATCATCATATGCGAATGTGAAATACATGAAATTATCAGGAAAATAAAGAACAAAACGAACTTGTTCAAGGTGAGAGTCGTGTTGGCCAAAGTCCGGTTGTTTACGACTCAGTACTTCACTCATAGAATTCAGCGAGCGGTCTTTTTCCAAAATCTGAAAGTCGCTGAAGAAATGATGACACGTTGTAGTATGGGGCACTTAGTGCACGATCGTGCCGCAACTTTTCAAATGATTGCTACCACAAGCGTACAACGCAGTTCGGCAACAGAGAAAGGGGGTGGGGCATTCTGCACTTTGCTACTTCTCATTTACTTTTCAAGCCATCAAATGGAGAACTGTGCAATTTTGTAAGCCACGAAACAGTACCAACAGAAGTACCAACCAAAGCTTGAGAAACCACTTGTCAACCCTTGTAAAGAGTACCTGTCAACTCTAGTAAAGCGATGAAATGCCATTCAAATACAATTTATCATGGTGATTCGACAAGCTTGGGACATTTGCTGCAAAATAAGAACCGAAGATGAAGACGAGGGCTAGAACTCAAAAGCAACTGTGCTGCTTCTGCAAGCCGCGCACTCCCACAGAACATG